AGTGATATCCACAGAGACAGAAACAAATGGAGTCAAGACATGTTTTAAAGGCAATGTCCCCAATTCTTGTGATATGGTAGATGTGGGGTGTGAGGGAAAGATGGAACCAAGGAGAAATGAATGCTTTGGGGCTTGAGCAATTTGGTGATGGCTGGCAAAGAACAGGGTAGGAGAATGCCACTCCAAGAACTCTAAATTCAAGTGTCCAAAATCTTTGGAACAGTAACAAAAGAAGTTAGCAATCTAAATAGGTTCATCAGAGTAATCCAAATACTAACAATGCAATAACTGGACTTCAGTACATGTTTTATTCTAAGAGATCTTTAATGTATTTATAATGCACTTATACAAAGAATAACTTGGAAAAATAGTCACCCACTAGGTCTGATGTTTTAGTAATGTTATAATACATAATGCTACTAAATAAATTGGTAAAGCAAAAGTACAGGTAAATCAATAGTCTAAGTTTAGAACTTGATTGATGTGTTGCTGTGAGGTTAAAAGATGGAAAAATTTTAACAGCAGGTCAGCTGAAATGACAGATGTTGGGCACTCACCATGTGCCGAGCATTTTTAAATGTTAATCTTTCAGGAACCCTTTGAGAAAAATTCTATGATCATCTCCATTTCACACAGGAGGGGTCTAACATAACTACCCCTGTGTTACAAAGCCTACAAGCAGAGTTTGAAATCAAGCCTTCCAGGGGCCCGCGCTGTGGTGCAGCAGGTTAAAGCTCCAGCCTGCAGTGCCTGCATCCGCTATGGGTGTCACTTCGCATCCCAGCTGCTCCACTTTCAATACAGCTCTCTGCTGTGGCCTGGGAAAGCAGTAGAAGACAGCCCAGGTTCTTGGGGCCCTACACCCATGTGGAAGAACTGGAAGAAGTTCCTGGTTCCTGGCTGGGATGGGCGCAGGTCTGGCTGTTACGGCCATATAAGAGTGAATAAGTGGATGGAAGACCTTTCTCTCTGCCTTTGCCTCTCTGTGACACTGCCTTTCAAATAAATAAATAAACAAATAAATCTTAAAAAAAGAGAGAGAGAGAGAGAGAGAGAGAGAAAAAAAAGAAACCAGGTCTTCTGATTCTAGTGCCTGGGCACTGAAATCACGCTGGGAAAGCAGGAACCCCTGAGAGAGACATTTCTGTCACCTACAGCTTAGCTATGTCTCTTCAACGTTGCTCCCTGGAAAGAGTTAGCAACCTCACACTGGTGACATTCCCTTGATAGATACACAACTAAAGTAGACCGAAGCCCTAGGTGCTTGAAATATATGGAATAAAAAGATAATTGGATTGTTTATTTTATGAGTATACTGCTCTAAGTTGCATTACGCAATGAAATCCCATTAATCCACACTCCACTAATCTCATGTAAAGTTAACCAACTGAACTATATGTAATTAAGAAAGGTTACCTTTTCTACAAACAATTCTTTAGAGTCTTATTTATAAGCAAAGCAAATCCAGGTTTTTTTAGTCATTCATTTAAAAATCTAGAAATTATATGTATTATGTCAGCAAAATGGAAAATGAAACAGTGACTTGATCAGCCCTTGTACTGACTGTTGAGGAACAACTTAATACTTTATCCCTTTTAGTATTTTTTTGTCCTACTTAATACTATAGGTTTAACTCTTTCATTAACACACAATTATTCTTAGGTGTTTAAATTTAACTAAAAAGTGATCCCTGTTAAATATAAGAGTGGGAATAAGAGAGGGAGGAGATGTACAGTTCGGCACATGCTCAATTGGACTTGCCCCAAATGGTGGAGTTAGAATCATGCCAGGGGATCCCAACACAATCCCATCAAGGTGGCATGTACCAATGACATCTCACTAGTCCAAGTGATCAATTTCAGTTCACAGTTGATCATACTGATAGGTCTAAGAGTCAAAGGGATCACATAAACAAGACCAGTGTCTGCTAATACTAACTGATAGAATAAAAAAGGGAGAGAACGATCCAACATGGGAAGCAGGATACACTGCAGACTCATAGAATGGCAGATGTCCTAAATAGCACTCTGGCCTCAGAATCAGCCCTAAAGGCATTTGGATCTGGCTGAAGAGCCCATGAGAGTATTTTAGGCATGGAAAGGCAAGACACTCTGGCAAAGAAAAAAAAAAAAAAAACCTAAATGAAAGATCTCTGTGAGTGAGATCCCAGTAGAAAGAATGGGCCATCAAAGAAGGAGGTACCTTTCTCTGAAGGGAGGAGAGAACTTTCACTTTGACTATGACCTTGTCTAAATAAGATCAGAGTTGGCGAACTCAAAAGGCTTCCATAGCCTTGGCAACTCATGACTAGAGCCTAGGGTGATTACTGATGCTATAAACAAAAGTGTCAATTTGTTAAGTCAACAACAGGAGTCACTGTGTACTTACTCCTCATGTGGAATCTCTGTCCTTAATGTGCTGTCCAATGTGAATTAATGCTATAACTAGTACTCAAACAGTATTTTACACTTTATGTTCTGTGTGGCTGCAAACAGGTTGAAATCTTTACTTAATATATGCTAAACTGATCTTCTGTATATAAAGATAATTGAAAATGAATCTTGATGTGAATGGAATGGGAGAGAGAGTGGAAGATGGGAGGGTTGCGGGTGGGAGGGAAGTTATGGGGGGGGGGAGCCATTGTAATCCATAAACTGTACTTTGGTAATTTATATTTATTAAATAAAAGTTAAAGAAAAAGAAAAGTCAAAAAAATGGCTACACATATAATGTAGTATAATATAATCAAGGCCTTTTGTGAAGCATAGGTATCCTTTTTAAAAAAAAAAAAATAAGCCTTGGGGCCGGTGCTGTGGTGCAGCAGGTCAACGCCCTGGCCTGAAGCGCCAGCATCCCATATGGGAAGGTTCAAGACTCAGCAGCTCCACTTCCAATCCAGCTCTCTGCTGTGTCCTGGGCGAGCAGAAGATGGCCCAAGTCCTTGGGACCCTGCACCCATGTGGAAGACCCAGAGGAAGCTCCTGCCTCCCAGTTTCGGATCGGCACAGCTCTGGCCGTTGCGGCCAACTGGGGAGTGAACCATTGGATGGAAGACTTCTCTCTCTCTCTCTCTCTCTGCCTCTCCTCTCTCTGTGTAACTCTGACTTTGAAATAATAAATAAATCTTAAAAAAAAACTAAGTCTTATTACTTGTTAAAATCCATTTATATCTTAGTTTAAAATATTAACTATCTTTAATATCACTCAAACTCCATTTCTTCTCAAATATTTTGTCAGTCAGATTTCTCACTACTTTCCTTCCAGTATTCTAAATGAAAGAGATTTTGAATCTTCACACTTATGGGACTACATATAAAAATAACCATAAACATCGAGTTTCAAAATTATGCTGTTTTTGATTTTGTGGAGACTGTTTAGAGAACTAAAAATGTACACAAAGCAAATTTCTAGCCCTTGATTCATGGTGCAGTCCTTCCCAAGGTGACAGAAGTCTGCAAATGCCCATAGCCTCATAAAACTTTTTTTTTTTAATTTGAGAAGCAGAGAGAGAGAGAGAGAGAGAGATACACAGAGAGAAAGCCCCTCTGGTTCATTGCCCAAATGCCCACAGTGGCCCAAGGGCTGAAATCCATAACCTGGAATGTAATCCCTGTCTCCCATGTAAGTGGCAAGAACCCAACTGCTTGAGCCATTACCGCTGCCTCCCAGAGTCTGGGTTGGCAGGAAACTGAAATAAGGAGCTAGAGCCAGGTTTTGAACCCAGGCTCTCCAGTACAAGGCACAGGCATCTTAACCAGTATATTAACCACTAGGCCAAATGCCCACCACCATAAAACATGTAATGCAGGCATTTCAACTACCAAATTGTTGTCACTTATTATTTTAAAAAAAAGGTCTATGTTGAACAATAGAAAATAATGAATAACTGGTTTTGATTTGAACTATTTTTCACATTTTAAAAATGATAAATGTAGTTCAGAGCTCTCAAACTAATGACACAGGAAAATAATATTAATTTTTGAGAGGAAGAAAGATTATTTTAAAAGTGAACATGTGGGGCCTGCACTGTGGTACAGAGGGTTAAAGCCCTGGCCTGCAGCAACAGCATTCCTTATGGGCTACGGTTTGAGCACTGGCTACTCCTCTTCCAATCTAGCTCTCTGCTATGGACAGGAAAAGCAGAAGAGGATGGCCCAATCCCTGGGCCCCCACACCCATGTGGAAGCAGTAGAAGATGGCCCAAGTCCTTGGGCCCCTGCACCCACATGAAAGACTGGGAAGAAGCTCCTGGCTCCTGGCTTCGGGTCAGCTCAGCTCTGGCCATTGCCGTCATTTGGGGAGTGAACCAGCAGATGGAAGGCTTCTCTGCCTCGGGCTCTACCTCTCTCTCTGTAACTCTGTCTTTCAAATAAACAAATAAATTTTTTTAAAAAAAGCAAATATTTCCTGAGAAATTTCTATGAGCTAAAATTCTCATATTAGGTGCTTTACATGAACATTCACAATAACCAGCAAAATTTGCCCCATGCTCACGCACCCACGCAGGGGACAAACTGCCACTTCAAGTGGTTGAGTGCCTGCCACAGCCACGCAGTGGAGGAAGATGCTGCTGACTGGAATCTAGCCCTCCCTCTGTGCCACTGTGCTCTACTGACAAGTTATTTCCTTAGAAGAGTCTAGGAAATGTGATCAGTATTTTATCTTTGTTCACATTCTAAAGTACCATCAGGCTCTGAGGAAAAGTATGTGGTCCAGTCAATGCCCTTGAGGAAGAGAGAGCCACAGATTATGGGGCTTTAGCCTTAGACAGCAGCTCGGTGACCATAGCCAAGGGTTTCTGCTGTGTCCAATCATTCAATTCCTTTGCTGGTGGCAGGGACAACATGCAAACCCCTTGTACATCTAGTGCTTCTCAAACTTCAATTGTGGTTACAAGAAATCTGAGAATAAGTGTGTGATACGCCATTTCCGGTATATGTTATTTCTAAATTTTATATCTACCAGATTTCCCTACCCCTGTATCTCCCACTCTCGCATACCTTCTCTTTCTCATCACCTTTTCTGTTCTTCTCTTCTCCTCTCCACCCTTTCTTTGCTGTATTTCTCTCTTCACCTCCTAGACACAGAGTGTGTAGGTGGGGAAGAAGGAAAGAAAGTTATAACAAAGCCATCATGTTTGGCACTTACTATATATGTAAAATACTCTTGTGCCTTTCTCACTTATTGCATATTTACTAACTGGTCTTAAAATTCTATGTCTATAAATGAGATTCTTCAGGACTACGCATTTGATGAAAATCCCTTCGTTTTCTTTACATTTTTGTGCCTCAGCCAGAAAAGTTGGTTCTAATGTCCAGGTGCATGACTTACTAAATGTGTGACTTTGGGCAAGTAATAGCCTTTTGTCTTTTCAGCTTCATCATCAGTCATATGGAGAACACCTATTCTGCCTCCTGGACAGGGTGGCTGTGAAGATTAAATGAAACTTCAGGGAGGACACATTTATGAAAGACTGCTCATCGGGAAGCAATCTGGTAGGACCATTACTCCTTTCACAGTTACTTCTATATTTCTTACTCTACTTTTTTTTTTTTTTTGCCTTTCTCATCTGCCTTTTTTGCCTCACTTATTTGACATGTCAGTGAACAAGGTGTTCCACTAGAAATTAATAGATTTCCCACTAAACTAGGCCATGGAAATTTATTTTTTAGCTTTCATCATTTTTAAATGGAATATTTTCTAAGCGAGGATTACTCATATCCTGTCTCTTTAGACATGATTTATTAAACATAGTTTATGTTTCCTGATGAGTCAGGATTATCATCACTACAAACATGTGATGTTCTCCCCCTAAAATTGTTGACCCCTGGGCTGTTATTAGAACTGCCTCAATTCCTTGTGCATATCCTATTATTGCACCTTAGGCTACCATTCGACTTTGGTTCTGTAGTTTTTTTCCCCAAATAACTCTAACTTCCCTAATGACATAGACTGTTTCCCATGTAATTCTATGCCCCAGTGCCCATATGGTAGCACCATCTGAAGATATAAAATGTAATAATAACCTGAAATTACTGAGGATGGAGGGAAGAAGGAAAATGGTACTTACCACATGCCTGTTGCTTCACATATGTTCAGTCTTCACAACTGAATAAAGAGGGTAATATTACTATCTCCATTTTAAGAAATGAGGAAAATGAGACTCGGATAACTCAAATACCTGCCCAAGTTCACACAGCTGTCAACAGAAGACCTACCCCTTTATTATTCCAAAGTTCATTCTCTTCCTGCCATAACACACATCACATATACTTACTCTGCCGTTGAAATGGGTCACCTGCTTTTTGGTTTCAGATGAAGTTCATAGAGTTTTACAATTTTTCTGCCTCTCCTCAAGGTCACCTGTTACCTCTTTGATGATTATGTATCATGTTCTTTTTCACCTGGTATTTTTCCTATTCTCGTCTGAAACAGCTATCAAAATGCTACACATGCTTACTAGACTTGCTTAAAAGTCAGAATAAAATAGTCTTAGTACCAATGTTAGGAAAGGATGAGAAAGAGTTTTCAAACTGCAGACCAACCTGGACAGGTCAGTAGTAGCTACTTGGAGTGCTGAGTTGAGGCGTGTGAGGCAGTAGCTGTGGCTCTGCAGGAACGAGGGCCCATGGGAAGTAGCAATGTCTGGCATGGTGAAGAGAAGGGAAATCAGAGCCACACTTCTGGGGCCTGGGGAGTTTTCACTGAGTAAATTGCATGAAGGTTACTGTGTGGTCTTGGCATCATCTATCTGGATTTTCTGTTGTGCTTTTTGCTTCCTCCTTTGCTCTTATCTGGAATATATTTAATTAAGGAGGCTAGCAGAGTGACTTCTGGATAACTAAAATGCTTGTAATAGTCTTTCCTTTCTCTTCCTTCCAGGTTTTCTAGGCCTGTGCTCTGTGGTGTGTGTCCTAGGTGTGTCAGCATCACCCTCAATGCCCCACTGCCTTTATATAAGTCATTGAAAGAACTCAGGGCAAAAGAGAGTACAATCCCTGGTATAGATCAGACAACGGTGAGTAAATAAATTAGCAAAGAAACAAATGATTCAAATTGGCATATTTTTTTCCAGAAATATTAAGTGTGTGAAGATTGAATTATACATGGCACTCTAACTTCCACTAATATTACTGATATTAATTAGTCAGGTTAATTAATATGGACTTCCACTGATTATACTGATATCAACTATGGACTTCACCTTCATTGTCCACAAGAGCTGATGACATTTCTGATCCTCCTTTACTACTGCTTCTGTCTTTGTTTCCACCACTTCCCCTCCACATCTGAGCAATCACCTTTGCTTGTTTTCCCCTTCTCTCTGCCGGTTTCTTATCTTGTTGGACCCTTGTCATGCCGTCAGAGATTCTTGGCTTCTACATGAGAACACTGACCTTTTATGTACATCATTATCAAGCCTGAAGATTACTTCCCTCTTGTTGGTGAATTAATCAATCACAGCTCATCTTCTGTAACCTTCGTGTCTTTGGCTCCTCCTAACTACAGTCAGAATGCCCAGTCTATTGCCCTTTTTTCTTTTCTAACAGACAACTATCCTAGTGCTTGAACACTAGACCCTGGCTAACAAAAGTTATGGTGTATGCTATGAAGCCCATCTACTGGAAATCACTTTTCCAACTCACACACAAGACAGTTCCTGTATGGATTCAAATGACAAGGGAGTACACAGTTTAGTGACCAAGTTAACTTGATTGTAATAGATTTTCTTTTCTTTTCTTATTTTTATTTATTTTTATTTTTTCGACAGGCAGAGTGGACAGTGAGAGAGAGAGACAGAGAGAAAGGTCTTTTGCCATTGGTTCACCCTCCAATGGCCGCCACGGCCGCCACGCTGCAGCTGGCGCACATGCTGATCCGAAGGCAGGAGCCAGGTACTTATCCTGGTCTCCCATGGGGTGCATGGCCCAAGCACTTGGGCCATCCTCCACTGCACTCCCTGGCCACAGCAGAGAGCTGGCCTGGAAGAGGGGCAACCGGGACAGAATCTGACGCCCCGACTGGGACTAGAACCTGGTGTGCCGGCACCGCAAGGCGGAGGATTAGCCTAGTGAGCTGCGGCGCTGGCCGATTTTCTTTTCTTTTTAAAATAGATTTTCTTTTCTTTTTAAAAGACTTTCATTCATTTGAAAGGTAGAGTGACAGAGAGAAAGGCAGACAGACAGAAAGAGATCTTCCATCTGTTGGTTCCCTCCCCCAAATGGTCACAACAGCAAGGGCTGGGCCAGGCAGAAGCCAGGAACCAGAAACTCCATCTGAAGTTCTCACATGGGTGACAGGGGCCTGAGTACTTGGGCCATATTCCACTACTTTCCCAGGCACATTAGCAGGGAACTGGATTAGAAGCAGAGAAGCCAGAAGTGAAACAACAGCTCTGATGCTGGTATCATAAGTGGTACCTTAACCCTCTGTACCACAAGACCAGCCCTCAGATTTTCTCAAACCTTTTGCAACAAGAACAGCAAAAAATATTTAATCAATTATCTGCAGCAATATATGGCCAAAATATAGTAAGTTTAGGTCCTGATATTAATAATACTTAATGTCCAAAGGCTCAATTTGCTAGAAGATAATCCTAAAAATGTGATTGCTGATGGTTGAGAATTACTAGGCAACTGAATTACCAACTGGTATCTTGAAGGAATTCATTCTGTATTAGTCCAAAATAAGTACCTGATTTTGCAAATTCCATCAGAATTATGAAGGAAGGAAAACAATAGAAAAATAGCTTCTGGGAAGAACAAGAGAAGCTTTTGTTGTTATATTGTTTTGCTCATTTGTATAAGATACAAATTTCATCTGTTTACCTAATGAAGAGAAGCAAGAAATGAGATATAGAAAATACACAGGTGAGAGAAAGTATTTGTGTTATAAAATTGTGCTTTGCCAGGCCACACAGCAGACTCATAGAATGACAAGTGCCCTAAACAGCACTATGACCTCAGAATCAGCCCTTAAGTCACTCTGGTCTGGCTGATAAGTCCATGAGAGCATTTCAGGCATGGAAAGCCAAGACACTGTGACAAAAAATAAAGAGTCCTACATGAAGGATCTCTGTGAGTGAGACTCCAGTGGAAAAAGGGGGCCATCAAAAAAGGAGGCACTTTTCTCTAAAGGGAGGAGAGAAATTCTACTTTGCTTATTGCCCTGTCTAAATACTGACAGAGTCTGTGGACTTAAAAGGCTTCCATAGCATTGGCAGTTCATGACAAGAGCCTTGGGTGATCACTGACGTCATAAATAAGAGTGTCAACTGTTAAATCAACAACAGGAGTCACTGTGCAGTTACTCCCCATGTAGGACTTCTATCCTTAATGAGTTGTACTATGAGAATTAATGGTAAAACTTGTCATCAAACAGTACTTTATACTTTGTGTGTCTGTGTGGGTGCCAGCTGTTGAAATCTTTACTCAGTATAGAGTTGGTTTTCTGTATAGAAAGATAATTAAAAATGAATCTTAATGAAGAATGGGATGGGAGAGGGAGTAAGAGATGGGACGGGAGGTGGGGGTGAGGATGGGTATTGGGGGAAGAACCACTATATTCCTAAAGCTATACCTATGAAATTTTTATTCATTAAATAAAAGCTTTCTAAAAAAAAATTGTGCCTTCTAATGTGGTAGTCACTAGCCACATGTGACTACTGAGCACTTGAAATGTGCTTAGTCTAAACTGAGATGTGATTTAAGCACAAAACACATGTGGGATTTTTGAAGAGTTAGCATGAAATAAAGCTTGAAAATTTATATTAATATTTTATCACATTGACTACATATTAAAAAGTATTCTATTATATTTGTTTAAATAATATATTATTAAAGTTATTCTTACCTATTTCTATTATTTTGTAATGGCTACCAGAAGATCTTAAATACATGTGTGGTTTGCATTTGAAACTCACATTATTATTTTTATTAATTATTCATTAAGTTTGGACAGCACTGATAGAAGGTCTTACCTATTGGGATTGGTTTTAACCAAGAGTAAGCGAGAATTCCAAAATAACTGAGAAGAGTTAAATAGGTAAATACTCATTGACTGCTGACAGGCTGAAAAAGCTGTTCCATGATCATCAGAGACTGAAGTTTCTTTTCTATTTCTGTTCTACATGCCCAAGCATATTGCCTCAGGATCCAAAATGGTTGCTAAGGCTCTAACTAGAATAACAACATTCCAGAGCTCAGGGAGGAAAAAAGAGGAGGTATTTGAGGCTACATTCCTTGTATAGTTCCTACAACCATCTTCTACCATCTTCCTTTTAAAGGCCAGGACCTTCTTTGGACAAAATAAAAGCCTCTCCCTCATATATATATATATATATATATATATAAAAAATAGGCTCAACAACACTAATCATCAGAGAAATGTAAATCAAAACCACAGTGAGATATAACCTCTGGTTACATTGGCCATCATCAAATAAAATCTAGGGGAAGAGAGTAAACTAACAACTGTGATCTTGTCCCATTTCATTGACAGGGTTCCCTGTGAATTCAAGAGCCTGGGAAATGCAGTCTACCCAATAGTACAGTGTACAGCTAGAAATCACAAGTTATTTTTAGGATTACCATTAGTACTGCTTTGCCCAAAAGTCTGTTTTGAATGTGTTGTCTTGGCATAATTATAAATAGCTCCCCCTTTCTTCTTTCTTAAATGTCCTAGTTTGGATGATAAATTATATGGTCAACCTTGTATTATGAGAAGAAAAAAACGAAACAGATGACAGGTTAGACAATCCATTCTGCCACAGGTCCTTGAGGAATCAGTTGAAAAATTATTGGCAGGTGGGTGTCTCCTCAAAACCACTTTACCATTATTCTGAAACTGTGCTCTTAGAGGTTGCTGTGACCTTTATATTGAAGAAATTAAAGAAATTTTCTATTTTTCTTTCATTTTTTCACTTAAGTTATCTGTGGTGTGACTTCCCATGTTAAGCACTATGCATTTAGGCTTTGGGGGTAAAACAGAATTCAATAGTATTAACTTCATACTATTAAGGCCATTTCATATTATAATGAAGGAATAAGAATCTGAATTGTTTGAATAGTCTGGATTGGGGACTATTGTTCCCTGTTTAGCTCTCTCCCTACCCCCATCAATATTTCCCTAAGTATCTTTCTGTCTTTTTGTTTCTAGAAAATTCTAGCCCATTATTTCCCAAAATGCCTTCAATATGTCACTAGTTCTCTAAAAGATCTCCAGAGTTAAATAATATTTGGATATGCAATGTTATTAGAGCTTTATAATGTAAATTATTATAAAGCAGGTTTGAAAAGTAGTACAATAAAAACAATCATTTAACTCTACTAATAATATGAACTGTATAGGAGTTAATACCTGTTAATATGTAATGTATCATTCCTTTGACTTCTCTTTGGGTCCCAGAGAGTTATCTGGGACTGATTATCTGTCCATATCTCCTTTCTCTGTACTTTGTCCCTGATGTACACACATTTGTCTTCTATTTCTACCTCTAAGGAGATGACATCTAAGCAACCTTGCTTAGCTGAACTAACTACAAAAGCATCTCTATTTGATTTAAAACTATAGTCTCAAACTTAGCAACCTAAAAGTCAGTGTTACTTCTTGTCTAAAATCAAGCTTCTGTTTGTACATATCAACTTTGAAATAGTTCTACTTGTGGTGGATTGTTTGGCTTATTTGTCTTTGGTTTTGTTGTGTCTTGACAGGTTTTGTTTTTTTTTTTGTTTTGTTTTGTTTTTTTGTTTGTTTTTTTTTTTTCCTTTTGGAGGGGTTAAAAGTAGGTCCAAATACTTCCAGGTAGACTGAGTGGCATTGCAATTAACTACTATTTTTGAGCAAAATCCTTTCATTTGCAATGTTGGTGAAAAGCTGTACCAATGGCTCTTGGGTAAATGAAGCTTATGCATGTGGCCTGGACTCAGCCAATCAAGACTCCCACTAGGAACTTTGGTGTTTCAGGGGTGACATTAACAATGCTGAGTAACAACAGTGGACTTACCTTGCCACTCCAGATTATTCTCATGCAATCTGAGGTTTGAGAACGATTGCATAAAATCATCTTGTATATCATCTCTTCCAAGAAAATCTAATTATTCCACTCAGAATTACGTCTTTTTTTTTTTTTTTTCTAGAGTCCTGTGACCCTTAATATCTATACCACTCATGGTGAACCTATCCTATGGTGCTTTTGAAGGTATGTAAGTAGTTTTCTTATCTCTGCAACTGGTTCCCAAGCTTTGTGAAGGCAGGCAGGAAGGATGATACAAATCACCATGTGTAGAATTACTCACCTACTAAGTAAATATTCACTAGTGAAAATTAGGTGCTCCTACCCACTTTCCATATGATAAACTTTAAATTAGTTCACATCTTTCTGATGTGAACATCTGAAATAGTGGTTCTCAATTTTGCTATTTGTTAAAATCACCTAGAGAGCTATAACAAATACTGGTACTCCAATCACATCATCAAAGATTCTACTTTAATTGTTTTGAGGTACAAGATACTGGTCACTGAGGTGTTAAAAGTTCCTAAATGGGTCTATGTTGCAGACAATGTCGTGAATCATCATTCTGATATTCAAAGTGTGGTCTAAGCACCAGCTGGAGCAGTACATCTGGGAACACTTTAACAAGAGTCCCAGGTGATTCATAAATACTTTACAGTAGGAGAAGCACTTGGTTTAAAACATCAATGTTCAACAGAAACACAATGTGAGCCATATATGTAATTTAAAATCTTCTGGTAGCCATAATATAAAAGGTTTAAAAAGTAAAAATAATTTTAGCGCATTTTATTTAACTCAATGTTTCCAAGATATTATCATTTTAACAATTACTAATGAAATATTTTACAGAATTTTTGCACTAAGTCTTTGAAATCTGGTGTGCATTTAATATTAGTAGCATCCCTCTAATTTGATCAGCAACATTTCTATTTCATAGCCATATGTGGCTACTACTCACCTTATTGAACAGTACAGATCTAGAGCTTCCCGACATTTCAGTGTTTAACACCAACTAAAGCTTTCCTTACAGCATCTTTTATAGCTGAAAGAGACTTTCTGTTAACCTATCAACTCACCATTCACTTTTCTATCTTCATCCTGTTACCCTCATTGGTCACCACAGCCTGGGAAGCCCTCCCCCTTTTCCTTTCTGGTCCAGGTTCCATTTTTCCTTTAAGTCCAGTTCAGACTTATATCTGTTTGCTAAAACCATCCTAAAATGAGATTACAATAGTTGATTTCTGCTCTAAATTTTATAGGGCAAACTTACTCATTCTCACGTACTAGGGAAGATTGTAAAAGATGTTTTTGAAAGCCTAATATGAAATATAATTAGAATTGCAAAACATGTTACTCTTCTTAATAAAAATAAAACATAAATCTCAGAAGGTAGATATTGAAAGACAAAATCTCTGGTGAAGAGTAACAGCCTTCCTGTGCATCATAAATCAACTTGCATAAATACTTCTCCTGGAGATCTTCTATGGCTATTCCAACACACCCTTCCCCACCCCACAATGCTGGAACAGAACCACAGATGCTCCTTCTTAAGCATAAATTCAAGTGAGAATAACAACTAGCTCTTCTTCCGATTGCTCCAAAACTTATCTTAGACAAAATGGAATGTTATAGACTGTATTCATAGACTGAAAGTAATGAAAGAAAAAAATATCAGAGTCCAATAAATTTAGAAAGTCTTGTTTGCAATATTTAGTCTATTGTCTATATGGGCAAGACTACCATATTCACATATGGCAGGATAGGAAAAGAATTTGCTAAATCCTTCCCTTCTTTGTCCCTCTTTTCTCTCCACACAGTGATATTAATTAGCCTACAAACCAAACACTTCCTAAACACCTTGACTTCCCATGGTCTAGATTTGCATTCTCCAATTTAGCCACTAAAACCTTGTAACTTCTGAATATTTGAAACATAACTAGCCCAAATTTAGATATTGTGCACATGTAAGATTCCAAGACTTGGTATGTATATGTGGTTCCCATTGATCCCACTAAAAATTACCATAAATGTAGTGAGTTAAAACACAGTATGAGCATTGTGGTGGAGCTAGTTAAGCCAGTGTTTGGGATGCCTCCATTCCACATCGGAATACCTAGGTTCAAGTCCTACCTCTACTTCTGATTCAGCTTCCTGCTAATATGCACCTGGGAATATGATTGCCCGAGTATATGGGTTCCTGCCACCCATACAGAGACCCAGATCCTGGTTTTTGGCCTGGCCAAGCCCCGGTCATTGTGAATATCTGGGGAGTGAATCAGCAGATGAAAGCTCTTCCTCTCTTTCTCCCAAGTCCCTCTCCCTCTCTCTTTCTCTGTCATATTGTCTTTCAAATAAATAAGTACACATTTGAAAACAGACATATTTATTTTCTTACAATTCTATAAGCCAGAAATCTCAGTTTTGGTGCCACAGTTGGGACCTCTAACTTGGAATCTCCTAAGTTCAAAACCAAGGTGTCTTTGGGGTTCATTTTTTCTGGAGGCTCTGGAGAGAAATTAGCCTCCAAGGTCATTCTGGTTGATGATCGAACTTAGCTCTTTGTGTTTGTTGGACAGAAGTCTAGTTTCCTTCCTTGCTGAAAGCCAGAAGCCTCTCTTGGCTCCTTCAGGCCACCTGAATTCCTTGTCACAGACCCTCCCCCCATCTTCAAACCAGCAAAGACATAGAATCCTACTCATACTGAGAGTCTCCCCTGCATCTTCTTCTGTCATATCTCTTGCTTTTAGCTTCAAATCCTCCCCTTTTAAGAACTTATGTAAGAGAATTTTCCAAAATGTTTAGTGAGATATAAAGCAGTGGTAGCTTCCCAAGCTCATTACTGCTCCCCAATATTAGCCGTGGCCCACTCCCTGGATGAAGAGAACAGTAAAGAAAACAGTTAATATGATGGTTTTTTGGTGAAATCTAATACCACCCAGGGAGAGTTTAAAAATGTTTATAGGAACATCTTGAATCCAAATGAAGGAGAAAATTTTAAAAAGATTTCTCAATTTTATTAAGTGGTCTTTTGATGTAAAATAGAATTATATAGCAAAGGAGGAGACCCAACAATTAAAGAGGATGGAGTAGGTGGTAGTTTTGAATCCCTGTGGACACCTTTGATATGATTTTTGGAAAAGGAGGAAGGATGCAGAAAGGAGAAGGGAAAATGTGCATGAGCTGTCACCTTAGATGATTCCCACAGTGGTGCAACAAGTAAACTAGTCCACACATGAATATGATCTGTGATGAATCTGAAGGCCAAGGAGGTAAGAAAGGAGTAGAATGTTGTCAC